TCCTTTGCTCCTTCGTGCAGGGCATCGGTACCCCCAGCCGTCTGCACCATGGGGACCATCATGAAAGGGGACCACCACAAACAGGGGACCATCATGAAAGGGGACCACCACAGAAGGGGGACTGCCAGAAGGAGTGGACCACTACAAATGGGGGGCCATCAGGAGTACTTGGGGTTCACCTCTCCTGGCACCCCCAAAGGGAGAAGGCATGGCAGGACACTACTGTCAACTCCTCTGGGGTCTTTTGATGCCCTGAGGATCCCCAAAGCCTGGCCCAGGCCAGAGCCACCCAGCCCCAGGCTTTGAAGAAGATGTTTAACAGGTAGTTTAGTCTGGTTGCAGCTGTGAAACATTTCAGTTCCAAACATTTCAGTTTTGGAAACATGTTAATTCTCTTTCCCCCTGTCCCATCCTCTGGCAAGGAGCCCCTTGCATGGATGGGACAGGACAGCAAGACCACTCAGGTTTGTCCCAGTGGTCCAGCAGAACATCCTGGAGCTGATAAAGCTGCCTGGAGCTCTGAGACATTTTAACCCCTGGGGTGTTGGGTGCTGTTAGGGAGCTGAGCATCCCCCAAGAGGCCACACAGCATCCTGCCAGCTCTTCCTCACCGTTCCAGGCCTTCATGTGTTCATCACAATTGAGCCTCCTTGACTGGCAGCTCCTCCCATGCTCTGGTCTCTGCCTTGGGGGAAACTGAGGCACGGGGGGTGCAGCCACATCTGCCTGCAGAATTCACGAGCCCAGCACTGCCCAAGGCTGCACACCAGGTTTATTGTCCATCGAGAGTGGATAGAAAGGAAGCTTACAAAATAAATAAATATCTCTATATGCCTATATCCAGTCCCCGCCCCCTGTGGACACACCTCACAGCACACACGCAAAAGGATCTTGAAGCACAAATTAGCGCAATCACTAATTACAAACCGCTGTGTGGGGAAGGCAGGTCATCCCCCAAATTGCCACCTCTGCCACTTCCCCGTAAGTGCCGTTATCCCATCAGTGGTGCCACACTGGATCCCAGTTCCAGCCTGCTGGTGGCATCCCAGCCTGGTCCAGCCAGCCCTCGTGGCCCGTTTTGGCTGCCCACCCCATCCCATGGCTCCTGTCCTCGGCCACAGCGTCCCCAAGCTCTCCTCCACACAACTGCTCAGCTCACGCCCCTTCCAGTGAGATCCCTGGCCATGCACCAGGTTGTGGGGACACCAGGACATCAGTCTGTGCCCTGGTGGCACATTGGCCCAGGAGATCAAGGCCAGGTTGGATGGGGCTTGGGGCAACCTGCTCTAGTGGAAGATGTCCCCTGCCCATGGCAGGGGGTGGAACTTTAAGGTCTTCCCACCCAAACCAGTTTGTGATTCTATGAAACTGGAAGCAAACTGGCGCACGGTGAGGTGCCAGCTGGTTCCTGTAATGTTGTAAGCAGGGGACGAAGAACAGAGGGAAAGCCAAGGACAAGGACGGGCAGTGGAGCTCAGCCTCAGTTTCCCTGCTCCGATGTTCACCCAACTCCCACAGCCTCCACAGGAAGGGCAGCAGGAGCTCCAGCATGGCAAGGCCCCCCACCACACAGCACGGTCCTCCCAAATGTCCCCACGCCTCGGCACACGGACAGAGACACAAGCACACGGACACGCGCCCACGCACACGCTCTATCAACGCTGCTTCATCGCCTTGACGAGCTCCTCCAGCTTCAGGGCCAGGTGCAGGTCACCTGTCACCTGCAGCCTCCCGCTCATGTAGGCACTCAGGGGGCGCAGGTCACCCAGAAAGAGGTCCTGAAGGTCCTTCTCCGACACTTGCAGGGTGACATCAGGAACGCCCTCGGGCACGCCGCGGCAAATCCGCCCGCTGCCTGTAGGACACGGTGGGTGGGAGAGGGAGAAACAGTGGGTTCAGGATCCAGCCTTGATCCAGCTGGTGTTTCCCCCCCACACATTTCATGAGATTTGAGATGGGCCAGATGACAGATGGGCCTCCTCCTGGCAGGGAGACTTTGGAGACAGGAGTCCTTACACCTCATGGAGATGAATTTCTCTTGTGTTGCTCCACCAATACCCTTTACAGTGGTCCACCTCCAAGCCCCGTCCTGCTTTTGCCATAACCACCAAGAAAACCACAGGCAACCATGTGGGGATGTATTAGGGTGCTGGAAGAACATCCTCCAGCATGGCAGGGGCCCTCCATCACTACCCCCTTGTGCTGGTGTCCTATGAGAGTCAACAACTCCTGAGGTCTCCAGGCCAGCCACGAGACCTTGCTGTCAATTTTCCATCAATACTCTATTTATCAAAGAAAATTCATGGTTTTAACCCAGAACAAATGATACTTTGGACTGCCAGGGAGCGTGGATTCAAGGTCATGGTCACCAAATTATGTTGCTCACCTGATGGGTCCCGAGGTGGCTTTCATGGAGGTACCAAAGGGGTTTGGTTTGGGACCTCTGACCACCGAGCTTGGTGGGGTTCACAGCATGCAAAGGGGGCACAAGAGCAAAACACACCCTCACAGCTCCAACACAACAACCCCAAAGAGTGCTGACCTGAGGAGAGGTCTATGAAGTAGGTGCTCCAGGTGCCACTGGACAGGGCGATGTTGACCTGGTAGGATGCTCCCACCTGGCTGACCAGGGCCTCAGAGAGGACAGACTCCACTGCTGAGAGCAGCTCGTCTGCGCTGGGCTTCCTCTGGGCAAGGAGGGGAGTGGTGGGAGGCTCCACCTCGTTCACCATCTCCACACTGTCTGCTGGGGACAACGGCACAGATTAGGGGACACATTTGTGTGGTGAGCCAGACCCACCAGAAAAGGTCTCCAGAGGAAAGAAACCACCTTATCCAGAAAGTCTTCAGCTAAGCAAGAAGAGGGCAACTGGTCTTGCCAGTTCCTGCTCCACTGTCTGCCATGGGTTACTCTTCCCTGGCTAACAGGGCGAGGAAAATTATCCCTGAAAAGTTAATGGGGCACCAATCGGTGCAGGGTTTCTGGAAAAAAATCCACATGACTCTTGGGAAACTCAGGCTCGATTTTGCCTCGTGGAAATGCTGAGATATGAATTGGTCTTGAGCCCAGGGCTCCTGCAGATCTGCTTCTGCCCTTCCCAGTCCCTTCTCCAATGTCTTGTTGGAATGGTGGTTCTGTGCCATGTGCTGTATGGAGCTGTGCCCGCAGCTCTCCTCCCTGCTACCAGCCTGTCTGTGCTGTGCTCGTAGGAGCATGACATCTCCCAGACTTTGACTCCTCTGTCAGATAGCCAATGGACACAAAGGTCACCTGGCAGGAGGGACATGACCCAGCAGAGGAGCAGTGACCCAGGGTTGGTTACCTGCCTCTGGAGCGCCGGTCCCGCCGCCGGCCAGGGCCAGGGTGCTGCCGAAGAAATGGGGCAGCCCAGCTGCTGAATGGTGCATCCAGACCTCCAAGCCCTGGCACTGTGGCACAGTAGGCTGCAGGCCCCGCCAGGTTCTCCCGGGGTGGCTGCAGCACAGCCTCCATGCTCAGCTCCACCCGGTCCACCTCCAGGCCCCACGACTTGGTCATGTCGTTAATCTCCAGCTGGGAAGAAAGGGAGAGGTGTTGACAGCTTTGACAGCCTAGGCAGAGCTGGATATGGCCATGGAGACCACCTCCCCACCATGGCACCTCCCACCATTGCCATCCTATAGCTTGTGCTGCTGCTGCCCACCAGTGGGGTGTTACACCAGGCTCAGTAGTCCTCCTTCTCCTCCAAGCTGTCAGCTCTCACATCCAAACCCTCCTCCCCCAGTTGCTCTCCCAGCTTGGAGGAGGCTGGGACAGGGGAGACAGCTCTGTCTTGTTCCTCTTTCCATGGTCCTTTTCCTTGCTCCCTCTTGGGCAACACATCCTGGCATGGTGCTCCACCAGGCAGTATCTCTGGCCTCCAAACCACCCTAGGGACCCCAGAGGTATCCCCCAGCCTCTTTTTACATCAGCCCTTATAGACATTGAACCCACAAGATCTTGGCCTGACCCAGGCTGACTGCAGGCAGGACTCACTGCCCCTCTGTCACTACCTTGTCCTTCTTCTCTCACCCAAAGCCCTTTCCAGTCTCCCTCCAGACATTTTCCTGATGGAGATAAGGAGGTCAAATCACAACACGTCAGCCTTTCTGTGCACCCAAAGCCCTTAGAGATCAGCCACAGAACTCTGGAGATCTGAAAATATCTGCTCCCTGCTAATCACCACATTTTCCCAGCTCCCTTCCTTGTCCAGGTCTGTGGCCAGGTAAGACTTTCAGCAGCTCCATCTTTTCCTTACTGTCACTTCAGCACCACGATCCCAAGGGTTTGGGTGTCCTGGGGGGCTCTGAGGTAGTCCTCACCAGCAGCTGCTCCCCGATCCTCAGCTTCTCCACCTGGATCTCACGGAGGCTCTTCTTCATCAGGGTCTTGGTCATGGCGTTCTGTGCTGTCATCCGGGTGGCCGCAATGAGGTCCTTCACCATCATGACGGACAACACGGGGTCCCACACCCGGAATTGGACGTCGGCACCCATGGAGATGATTGCCCCATCCTTGGAGGTCACCTGGGGCAGAAAGGAGTCAGGATCTCTGCCGCTCTCCGCCCCACGGCCCAACCCTTGTGTGTAGATCCTGGGAGCAAAGGCATTCCTAGATGTCTTTGTTAAGAGGATTATTGGAAACAAAACCAATCCAAATAATTAATTTTCGGCTAGCTTGGATGGTGAGGACAGTTTCCAGCATGGGCTGTTATTTAAAGACATCTGGGAAGGGTAGGGACTGATGGTTTTGGGATGTCTCCAGCCAGGAACACCCTCTGAACAAGGCAAGAGGAGCTTTTTGACCTCAGGCAGGTGAGGACTGACTACACTGACTGACTGACTACACAGCACCAGCTACAATGTCCCTGGCCTTGCCAGGAGGAGCTGAAAGCTGGGTCACCAAGGGTCAGACCATCCCAAAATCCACCTGCTCTGGGAATTTGAGAGCTACTTCTCCATCCCACCCTGAGGGATGGCAGTCACCTTGCAGGGGGGCACATTGAAGGCCCTTGTCCTCAGATCCACCCGCTGCCAGTGGTCGATGAAGGGCAGCAGCAGGACCATGCCGGGCCCCTGAGGTGCCTGGATGCGGCCCAGGCGGAAGATGATCATTCGCTCGTAGGCGGGCACGACCTGGAATGGGAAAGTTTAGACCAGGGCAGGAGCAAAACCCTGGATCCTGCAACGCCAGGACCAGGGGCAGCTTGTAACTGTCCCCTTATGGAGGTTGGTTGTCATGCCACTCCTCACCTGCTTTCCTCACTTACCTTCAAGGTGAACCACCCTGAGATAGGGAAGGTGACAACCATCAGCAAGAAAACCAAGGAGGTGATAATCCCATGGCAGATCCAGGACAGCCAACCCTGGGAGGTGTCTGCAAGACGGGTGAAAGGGGGATGTACCTGCTCCAAACCCCCCTGCCCTGCCCGTGAACCCCCATCCAAGCCTCTCCCCTCCCTGCACCCTGCACCCAGGGCTGCCAGCAGTGTGGGGGACACCCAGCCAGTGCCACACCCTACAGCACCGGGGGCAATAGGGAGGGAGGCAGCAACTCCCCTCTCGGTGTGGGAGTCACCTGTGGTATTCCCAGCCATCCTAGGGGCTTGGGGCTCACCTATGGCATTCCCAGCTGGTCCCAGTGGGTCTTGCTTGTCTCTGAAGCAGAAAAAGCCCTTCTGGGCACCGTAGAACCCAATGCTGGACTGCTGGAAGCGGTCAAAGTCCCCCAAGGGAAGGGCTTGGTATCCCGAGCGGCTGAACATGGTGCTGGTGCCTCGCACAGGGCCTTGCTCCTGGTGCTCCAAGGTGCTCCTCTAATCCTGGCTCCCTGCTGCCATCACAGCCACCTCCATCCCTGTCACCGTCTCCCTGCCGTGAGAGATGCAGCTGACAAGCCCTTCTGTAGTCACATTACAGGAGGGCATTTGCTG